TCCGATCATTGGCCGCATGAAAGTCGTCATGGAATGGGATTTCTAGTAGACCTAGTAGATCTCTCTCTACAAAACTAAACTAGCCGTATGATTTTGTTTTATAAATTTTGCTGGTTTGATTTTTATTTTACTTTTTATTATCTTTCTCTTGTTTTGGTTGTTCTTGAACACGTATTAAGTATGTACATATGAGTTTTACCTTCAAATAATTAATATCTATCTACGTAAGTAATTTTTCCAGAAGCAGAAACATCAGTGTTAGTAACGTAACCTATAAGAAAAAAATACATTAAGAATCTTATTTCTAGCTACATTTCAAATTAGAAACCAAGGGATCCTAAGCTAAAATATTCTTAAATCAAAATAGTATTGAAAGAACAAAATATGAATTTATATTCATCCGAACAAGTCTTAGAGACTTCGTAATGATAATCTATGAATTCAAAGAGGGATATTCGGTACACGTACCGGCCTCTGCGTCTGTACGTGCCTGTACTTCGGCCACCGTAACTATTCTGTGAAAATATGTATTGTAGTATATCATGGTATTTTATAATAACTATTGTCCTTTGATATTAACGATAAAGGTTAGTTGACGAAACGCAATTTCATACTAAATTTTGATTTCTGTCAAATCAATGAAAATTTTTCAAGGTGTTTTTTGGAACGAAATTTTATCTTTAGCAATGAAATTAATTACTCTCAGTGTGTCTATATGTAGATTAAAATGTAAAAAAATACCATGCCAGATCGAATGAACCGTTTTCGTGGACTAAAATTATCAGTTCTGAATTTTTCATTCTCTTCACTTGTACGGTTCTTTTGGCTAGATTTAATTATGTATAGTTAAAGACCATAACTATAAAAAAGTTCTCATGTGCCGACCACGTACCGGAAGGCCAAGCGTGGGGAAGCCTCTCACAAGGTGAAATCACGATCGGTTGTTGCGAGAAAGAACTAGATGCAGACCCCATAGGACCAATGCTTGTGGCGAACCTTGAGCAAAGCTTTATAACCAGCATTGGATGTGTGTGAGCTGACAGTTTTTGCTACATGATCTGTGATTAGTCGCCAAAGTTATAATCAGGTGAGTTACGAGAGTCAGGGTTTGATGAGATTGAGCCAATACTCCGTCTCCCCTTAGTAGGATAGCACATCGGCTCACTTGAATCTAACCGGATTTGGTTACAAGAATATACTAGACAACGGGTTTGGGTGAGCTGTCGTGGGGTTCTTATAGTTGGCTGAGTATCATTTAATTTCGCTCATAAAAGAAGTAACTTAAGAGAAGAATCTTAACAATAATCTATTGTCCGAAATGTGAATTTATAGAATAATCCTGAAATCTTGTGGACAGATAGTGTCTTATACAACAGTCCTGCAGAGCGTGAATAAGAAAAAATAAGATTTGTACACGACAAAAATGCAAACTGGAGTACTTGGAACTTATTACGCGTTGTGAATAAGTATTATCCAAGAGAAAATAAAAGAGAAGGCGTCGCGGATGACGTCATTTTTTCTGATATACAAAATGTGAAAATTTATTTGAATCTAAACACAAGATCTGCATTGCGCGCACCATTATCCAAAAACAAATAAACCTGATGACACTAGCTCCAGCAAAAGATTATACATACCTCAAAAAGAAATAAACTCATGGTTGGTAGCTTCAATTTGTAAATATCTAGTAAAATATTCTGGTCGAAACGCAGCCACTTGCAAAACCGTTATCCAGTTTTATGACACGTACGTAAGTTATTATACCACTGGACCAAAAGCATCATAATATATTCAATTAAGCTTCTGTAGACTCTAAACTAAAAGTATACAGTTCAACTTGTCTCCGTCTCATAACACAGCTGTAAAATCGTCCATAAATTTCGTCGCGACCTTCCTATTCTGGTCTAAACCATAAACTTAGAACGAGCAATGAAAACAACACACTACCAAAACCGCACGATATTGTAACGCGAAATTGTGCGCATTCCGTCGAAATAGGGTACCATTAATGAAGAATTTCAAGGGGTTGAAACCCAAGCGAAATGAACGAGGGTGCAGTAAATAAAATAATCGTACAGAGCTTCCCACGGAAACCTTGTCGCAATGTAATTTTCTGTTACTTTCACAGCGAAAAGGATTTTTCTTGGAGTTTTTTTTTTTCGCTCCACATTTTTAGGTTCCGCACATCAAAGGGTGACAACGAAACGTTTTAGTTGACTTTTTTACTCGCTCGTATTTTTCGAAAAGATTTCCGCGAAACAATTTTCGGGGAATTATTTCATGTTAATAATTATAACTTGTTTGATTTTCATTACTCTAAGAACTAATAGCAATCGAACATGATTTTCCTATTTTGGTTCGATTTGGAATTTTCTTTCTTTTCAATTGCTATTTAAATGGTGATTGTTTGCTTATTTTTGTACTGAAGCAATTGCAAATACCGGTTCTGAGGGTAAACTAGCTTTCCAGTGTAATTAAAACATCAACCTTATTGCTCTTACACACCAGTTCCGAAGAACTGATTTCATGTTCAGCGCACCACATAGCCCTACTCCCTTAGGTCGCCCCGTAACCTTAACCGAAGTCAATGTATCCCTGCCAGTACAATGGTTATAATTCAATGCCCCTCTTGAAAAAGTCAGGTGTACGGAAGAAAACAAACTATTCAAAGACATTTTGTATTGCCTCTCGTTACTGGTGGTAGGACCTCTTGTGAGCCCGCATGGGTAGGTACCACCACCCTACCTGTTTCTGCCGTGAAGCAGTAATGCGTTTCGGTTTGAAAGGTGGAGCAGCCATTGTAACTATACTGAGACCTTAGAACTTATATCGCAAGGTTGGTGACATTTGCGTTGTAGATGTCTATGGGCTCCGGTAACCACTTAACACCAGGTGGACTGTGAGCTCATCCACTCATCTACGCAATAAAAAAAAAAAGGTCGGAAGCTTAATAAATATTTGTAATGTGAGATGATATAAAAAAAATAATAATGAGAGAATAATGTGAGTCTAAAATTCTAGTGGTGTTGAAATCTTCTTTTTTATTGCATAGATGGGTGGACGACCCATCTATGCAATAAAAAAGAAAAAAAAACATGTTTTCCTATGATATTGTCCAAACTTTAGAAATAGTAGAAGTCTGTTGGTGCAAACTCTGGTAAGTATGGTGGATGATAGAAAACTTCCAACCTGAGTTCTCGTAGCTTAGAGACTGTCTGTTGTGCCATATGAGGTGTAGAAGCAGCGGAAACGAGCGATTTACCAAGGCAGACCAGAGATTCGTGAGCTTCTCCATTATGTGACCATGTGTCGTGTCTCCGGTTGCTCACAGCACACCTCCGCCAGAATGCTGGTGCCGTTTGTTAGAAGTTGTGATGAATTATACCGGCACTAGATCACCAAACAGTGATAATGACTTTTAGGGGTAAGTTTTAATTTAGAGTGCCTAGGTGCTGAATTAGTCTAACCAAAAATTACTCTGCCAATGATAATTTGAAAATAATTCATTCAAATTACTAGAATCATAAAGAAACAGAAACAAAAAGGAATGACCTTAAAAAAGAAACCAGTTGAATGAAATTTGTCGGAATAATGAATCTTTCTCATCTATTTTGCGGATAAATAGATTACTTTGAATTCATTGTCTTTTTACTTGAAGGGCCGAGCCGCGACAAATATTTCAGACGCCATACAACTTTTGTGATGAATGAATCAAAAGTTTTGTACAAATTACAAATTGAATCAAATTTTTTAGGCTAAGACAATTCAGGGTTCTGGTTGAAGTGGCAAAAACTGGCGCAATTTATTATTTACTAATAAAATTATACGTTGCATATAATAAATAGACATGAGGGATATTTTGGTATCTGAAACGGTCTAAATATCGTGTGTGCAGTGGAATGTATGAAATTCTCTGACATTCACCACAAAAAACATTTCACGCTACGCGAACTAATAATGATAAGGGTAAATAGTTAAAAACTCTCCTTTTCATCGGTTTCAACTACTTTTACAGTTTAATTTTGCCTTTTTTATGGTGATTTTATGAAGCCTCCCACAAAGTGGACTCCCGATCGTTTGTCGCGGGAAACAACTGGATGCAGATCCCATAGGAGCAACAATCCTTGTGGCGAACCTTGAGGATATCCTATATCCAGCAGAGGATGTGTGAGCTGATAGTTTTTTTTGTGCTACGTTATCTGTAATTAGTCGCCAAAGCAAAGATTATATCCAACACATCGAATAATTTACAGATTTCTTGATAACGGGTGACTGAAGTGTTATTCTTTTGGATATTTGAGTACTGTGATAACTAACTGCCGTATATTTTTCTATAAACATTATTTCTAGACTTTAACGTTTCATTTCACACAGAACAAATCAATAGTATCTTGAGGTCTGGCAGATTAAGCCATACAAGTAGATCGAATTGTGTCGTTAAGATACGTTAGTGCAATTTATGAAAACAATATTTTTCAATGATAAATAAGAAAAAAAGCGTTAAAGAAAATCATTACAAAAAACTTACAACTAGTGTAGAAATTGATATCGATATATTCGTTAATACAGACATAGTGATCGGCCAATCGCCAGTTATGATTTTCACCTTCACCGTACCAAATTACTAAGTGTATATCGCTTAATTGGCCTTCATCATAAACGTCCAAACTTAGGCCGACACACAACATTGTATACTCAGTAGCCATTATACGAAGCGAGTAAAGTTGTGTTGAAGTTTCGCGCGAAGGTCGGAAGCGTCGTGTTGGATATCAAAGCATTATAGAAAACGTCAACGTGTCGTGATACCTTCCGACGTGTAGGTTCGATTTATATGGTGGAGATAAGGCGCATCTTATGCGTGCGTCATTGTAGCACAGGTGTCCACAGCTATTTACCGCCCTACTTATTCAAGTGCCTCACGCCGTGGAGGCGTAGCTCCGTGCTATGGATCGGGGGGAGAGCGATCAGTGAGTACCGAAGTGCCGGCCTGGGCGGACGCCTGGCTCTCGACCCGTCGGTTATCATACGAGAGGCAGATACGCGAGCGGCAGTGCCAGAAAGGGACGCAGCTTTCCGAAGTCCGTTTTCAACAGGTCGTTATTGTAGCTTCGACTAAATGGTGATTTCGTGCAATAATTTTTACTACAGTTGTACTTTTATGAAAACCGTTTAAACTTTTATGAGTTTTCTTGTGCGGTTTTGTAAATCGTTCGTAGGTATTGCTTCGCAAACAATTTCTGGAGATAATACGGTTTTGATATCTGCTCCCGTTTTATTGTTGTTTCCCAATATTTTGACTGTGTAAGAAAAGTTTTTAATCGAAATCCGTGATATAAAATTTGCTTATACTTTCGCTGAAGATTTATTTTAAGTTGACGAACAATTCCAATATATTCGATGAGTAACCAAAAAGAAACATAATAATTAATTTGGAACCACTCCCAAGTTTGTCAGCTTCAACGTGGACAAATAATAATAGCATCACTGTCCTTGGATGGTGACACTATTCCATTGTGAGTAGATTGGTAAATAAATGTTAGAAAATAAACTATCTAAATATTTTGATAACAAAGCAAACAAGCAAACATTTTCAAACACGTTTGTACTAGCTCGACGTGTATCTGCGTAATTTAATTTTTCAACATATTTCTTAACAATTCCAAGAAGTCAGTGATTATCAAAATTTCCACACGTATCAAGGACCGACTGCAACGCAATAATTACATTATTTATCCTAAAATCCCAACTAGGGTAATCTGATCGAAAACGGTTAGGTTTTTAATTTGAGCTTTCTCAGTTTTTTTAAACTACATAGTTATAGCTACTAAAATTCACTTTAATGTTAGGAAAAAAAACATTTTCTTAAGTTTCAATATTTTTTTAAATATTCCTAGCAAAGCTTTCAATTATTACCTGGAATATCTTACGCCTACGATGAAATGACTCTGACTAAAATACTCCCACTCGCGTATACTAAGCTGACTGCCAGAAAAATAAAATTAGAACCTAAACGAAGAATTTCACATTCAACACTCCTAAGCTAATATTTTATCCAGTGTACCGTAAATAAACGGGATTCAAACAAGTACTGTAATTCAATATATTTAAAAGAGACACGAGCTCCTACCGAAAATCGAACCTTGATATCATACAGTTTGTCAAAGTAGCAACTTGACTAACCAAGTGATCAAATCAAATCAAAGATTTTTCCTTCATGCTTAATTTTACTTAAAACACGAATTATCTATTACCCAACACACAATTATCTGCCTCAAGAAATATAAACTCCACGTCAATCTATATCTAAAAGTTCTGCTACAAACTTTGCTATTTACTATTACTTATCAAATGCCACACACAATAGCTATGCCAAAGCATTATGTGCAGTTTAAAATACCACTCTTATACTATACATGTATGTACATATTATTATGAAGTATGAGGCAACAAAATTAGTAAAGCACTTGTTGATTATTGAAGCAACACCAAATGTTGATTTTTCTTTTGAATCAGTCTCCTATTATGGTGAACATCAAATCAGATTATTTTCTACCATATGGAGATATTTTTTATTGGTTAGATGGGCGGACGAGCTCACAGCCCACCTGGTGTTAACTGGTTACTGGAGCCCATAGACATCTACAACGTAAATGTACCATCCACCTTGAGATATAATATCTAAGGTCTCAAGTATAGTTACAACGGCTGCCTCACCCTTCGAACCGAAACGCATTTCTGCTTCACGGCAGAAATAGACAGGGTGGTGGTACCTACTACCTGTACCTGTATTACTACTTACAAATCTCTACAAGGTTGGATTGAATCATTTAGTTATTTTAATTTACAAAAAACTTACACAACATATTATTGGGAGGAAATTACAGGACGATGAAAAAATCATTACACATTAACATTAAAAACTTGATAAATCTTCTTATGCTCATGATAACTACATTGTGAATCCTTTATTTGTATATTTTAGGATTTAAATTTTTTTAGACGCAGTTCGATGTTAGGCATATCTTGCAAGCTACCTTATTAACTTGCAAGATACGCCTTATTGTTGTTGACCTAGTTTCTCTAACGGTTCGCTTTCAGAGTGCCTTAGTAAATGCATCACGAGTTTTATTTGATGGCCTCATTTTTTCCTAACTACTTTTCCGATTTATCACCATTTGGAACGTTTGAAAATCGCTCTGAGCTTAATAAAAGTTTAGTTTTTATGCTGAAGAATTGGTACCATCTGTCGTGAATACATAATGTCAAATGACTTGGGTGATAAAAGTATAGCTTTCGTCCACTGAAAATCAAAATATTTTCCGGTTTGATGGTCGGGAGAATTGAGACAAATAGGAATGAGATTTCACCTTAAGCTGGTTGCGGCATTCACGAAGCCATATTTACAATATCTGGTAACCACTTACCAACAGGTAGACCGTGATTTCGATTACGCGTCTAGATGATTAAAATAAATTAACACTTTTTTATTCACAAAGGGCATTTTTCTGACATTACTCTATGCCGTTAGTTAAGCAATTGTACAAAACAAAGCGGTGTTAGGTAGGCTTTCTCTAAAAATTTTTTAACAGTACTAAAGTAAGTTACATTGCATAACAAACGAATCTTTGATTAAATTGTTTTTAAGCTATTGCATAGCTTTTATCGCGGGCTTTGAGCGTGGCGACTGAATCAAGAAATTCCGTAACGAAAATAAAACATAACACGCCCACTCCGCCTACCATGTAGCTCGCGTTCAACACATTCATACGTTGCGCTTGTGTAGTCTTTGTGAATAAGCGCACAGCGTGACGTCGCACTGCATACGCATCATGAAAAGTCTGCCCATCCCTTGCTCGCGCGGTCTAGCTTATGAGTGGGAAGGGGATAGTTAGTGTTTTGCTTTTGTTAATGTTTATAAATATAGTGTGGTCTTATTTTATTATTGTTATAATATTAAATTATTATTGTCTAATTATAATTGCATAAGTTTATGAAAAATGCTATGCAATAGCTTTACCGCGACAGTCCCCGAGTGCCGCACGTGTTTTTTTTTTTCATAAGGTGACTTGATTCTCACGCCTAAAGTTTTCACATATAATTGTATTTTTCATTTACTAAGTATTGCGTGAGAGACCTTTTTATTTTCTATTACTTAACCCCATTAGAGAATACACACAACCTCGACCAAGCTGTATTGGATATCGCGTTACTTAGTCGGCGTAGACAACTGCTACGACGCGTAGCTACGCTCCGTAGCTCTACGGGACGTGTGGCAAAACATATTATTATCCAACAACATTTTCATTCCCCTGAGTTTTTAAGTATGGAATATTTATGTATGGAATTCAAATTGTGTTTCTGATTATAACGACATGTTTTATACATATTAACAATTGATGAAAACAAAACAAAAGGTCTCGGTAAATTTGCGAAGTAATTTGAGAGGCAAGTTTTTCTACTTCATGGATTTTTTTTCGAAGTTTCCCTAAGAGGCTTAGTATATTAAGAAATTGCTTTTATTATTATCGTATGAAATTAATATTTTGTATTGATTTACGAGCGTGTTCAGAAAAATTTCTTTTTCTTATTTTTTAAATTAATTACCAATATTTACTATGTGAACCTATCTTATCAACAAAATAGGTTTTGTTATAGGTTTTTACGTTTGGGAGTTTATAATAAAGCAATTAATCATGTGCCTGCTATTCATTTTGAAAAGAAACAGTGACGTGATTTTCTTTGCTGCTTACAGATCATGTTTTGACGCCACTCTTATTATTTCAAAAAAATTCAGTTTTCATTAAAACAGCTCTGATAGAATACAGCTTAGAATTAAATTCCAATTTACTTACAAGTAATGGCATTCATGTATGTAGTTATAATAGACAGCGGTAACTACGTGACACATTTCAGCCAGTAGTATAAAAAAATATTATGCTAATATCAATAAATATCTATCACTGGTAAATACGTATTACGGTAGTAGGATGTGAGCTCGCGCGGGTAGATACCACAACCCTCCTTTTTTTTTCTTTTTTTTTTTTTCGAGGAACTCGCAATGACAGGCTGGGTATGTCCAGAGTCGAACTGACTAAAACCTCCTGTCGCTCACCACGATACCACAACCCTAGCTATTTTTGCCGCGAAGCAATGCCTATTTGAAGGGTGACAGCTGTCAATATAATTGAAATTTCAATCTCACGCTTCGATACGGATGGCGGTGATTAAGTACAGACTCCTGTGACAGCTTAGCAACAGCTAGGCAACAACTTAACAACAGTTCAGCTGGGAGTACTTTTTGACGTGACAACGTCTTATAATTCGATGTAGCCGGCTGCACGCACGAAAAAACATGACTCATGCGGCGTTACCTCGCTCTGATGCGTTCAATTTAAGGCTTGAAGTGCAAGCGAGAGTGCGCAACGAGCGACAAAGAGGCACAATCGGCCTCTGCGTTCGGCAGTGTACGACATCTGTCTCTCTCCTACTTGAGTGAGCGATGCATCCGCGTGGACAGCTGCTATACAATAATACATTTACATGTTTTCGTCAAGTATGAAGTTCAGTGAAAAGTGAATGTGGTGTCAATTGTTTATAGCAACGATAATTGCGATAATTGAAAAATGAAACCATTCCATCAGTATTTTCTTATGACGTTGTCACGTTCGACTATCGTCAGTAAACCGACTTTACAGACAACCGATTTTTTTTTAATTAGTATTTCTTAGATAGCTGAACGAGCTCGCAGCCCACTCAGTGTTAAGTAGTTACTGGAGTCCACAGACATCTACAATGTAAATGCCGCTACCCACCTTGAGATATGAGTTCTAAGATTTCAATATAGTTACGTACGACTTTCAAAGCAAAAAAAAACGATTTATTCATAATACGCCAATTCTATGTTAATTAAGCTCGTTTTCTAACATGTACCATATCAATTCAATACAATACCAATCATTGAACGACATTACGGTTTCGGTTGGACAATAAATGTTTCATACGCAAACTTGACAACGGAATATCTTCTGTAATGTCTACTATTTACATTGCAAAATAAAAGAGATGTAGTTAAATTAGTGATTTTTTAGTTATT